ACAACGTATCGCGAAGTTCCTATACTCACTAAGCTGCGAGACTGACTGCCCAACAGTCCATTCCGCCTTAATAAGATTCTCTGTTTCCGTTAATAGCGTTTCAATTCGTCCCCCAAATGAACTCACCGGTTCATTACGCTTTTGCGCACACGGTTCAAGGTCCTCTCTTATTTGTTCCAATGAATGTCGCTTCAGGTAGATTCTTTTCACAACTTTACATAAGTCAGTTACTGTTGTAAACGATCTACCCGCAATGTTTTGGTAGGCTTCCCCTACCAATATCTGTTTTATACAGCTTATCTGCTGTAAAGTACTTTTCTATGGTAAAGCCTCAATTAATTCGCAGCCCGCTACGAACTTATACACCTCTCCACGCAAATCAGGACCGTCGGTCCCAGAGAAATATGGCACCACTTTAGTTACTACCTCCATTATTGCTGTAATCGCTGTCATCTTTGTCGGAAGTTTTACTTCGAGTGACGCCTGAATACCACTCTCTAAAGTTACTGGTTTCGATCTATAACAAGAATCCAACTCCTTCGTTAAATGATCCACCTGTCCCTGTAATTTTTTCACTGTATTACGGTGTAATTCACCCTCCACTATACTTTGGTTTAGTAATTTATCTACGTCACCTTCTCTAACTCCCTTACTTTTTAATGCTTTTTCTGAACAGACAGGCTGTTCAGAATCTTGCAATAACTCTGTTAGAACTTTTGCCCGTTCACTAAGTTCCTCGCATTTATGCTTAAGACCTTTCTTGGCATGTATCAGCTCTGTAATTTTATTAACCGTTTCTAGGAATCTAATATCTTTCACGTTCTCAATCTGTTCTTTTAAAAATCCGACATTCCTCTATCTTTGATCATCTTTCCCTGCGTATGTGATCTGTTGTCAATTCTACGAATTCCTTATCCCCATTTAGTCCTAAAGGTTTTCCCACGCTTGCAACTTAGTGCTATCCAAATACCTTTTTAACACTGTGAGTTCCTGATTAAATGAATCGATCCTTTCCTCCATTAAGCTACTTCCGATGCGTTTAAAAACATTAACGGAATTATATAACCCCACACATTAAGGAAAAACAAATTCACTATATAAGAATTAATGCGAAATATATTTGAGAAGTAGAAAATAAATTAAGTTAATTCCAGGGATCAGAAAAACACTGTGCTGTGCACAAAAATGCAAAACACCACGCACAAATGTTGTGCGATTCTAAATAAAATTTCACACCACAAATGTGGTGTGCGAAAATTTTTGTGCACATCTTAAGTGCCACTTCTTGTGTGCACAAACAAAACGCACATTTCACACGAATGTGGTGGAGTGGAAAAAAACTCGCACACGCATTCGGTGTTTGTGCCGAAGTTATTTCGCACAGCACATTGTGTGTGAGGCAACCAGCTTACCTTCGCACACAATGTGTGCAGAAAAGAAAACCAGGAGCACATTTTGTGTGCAGACTTGAAAATAAAAATGCACCTAAATGTGCGGAGACGAAATGTCTACTGCACATTTGTGTGAAATGATGATTTAAAAGCGCACAATATTATGACAAATATCGCAGCAAAATAGTACGTAAAACTGATTTGTATTAATTTTGGTCTTAATGCGAAATATTTTATTAAAGAAATGATTTTGTATTTATATTTTAATTTTGAATTTATTATTAGGTTTACATTTATTGCTTATATTACTTATTATTTTAAGGTTTATTAATTTAAAACATGGGAATAAAGTTAATTTCACAATGTACTTGAAAACTTTGTTATATTAAATAGGTACATGAATTTTATAGAGAAAGAGTATTTGTTTCGAAATGTTATAAGTAAAGAGGATCGGTTTTACGGATCGTACTTTGAAAAAATTAAATATATCAATTTTGGACTACTTCATAAAATTTTATTTAATAGTAAGTTATACACTAAGACTCGTTAGTAAGGTTATAAAAAGCAAATTAAATATTTTTTACAACAACATAAATTAATTTTGTTATTAGATTTCACTTAATTTTTTATATTTAATTACAGCTTAAATTTAACGAAGTTATTGAAATAATTTAATAATTTAATTTCTTAATTTCTTATTAAAAAATATATAATTTTTATTACATATGTTTCGAAATAAATTTTCATTTAATCTTATTAATAACATTGCTGAAATATTTTTTTCACTTAAATTATATCTCTGCTTACTTAGCACAGTAGGTTAGGTTAGGTTAGGTTATACCGGTGATCCCTAGTGGATCCACTTAGGCCTATTGGCCCATTGTGATGCCGTATATAAATACTAAAAGAAAGTAAAAGAAACCTCAGGGTTTAAAACCACCTAGAACCTTTTGCGAAGCATAGAATGCTATTTAAAGCCCGATCCTGTAACTGGTCCAGGTCCTCAAGGAAGGGGGCCCCTAGAGTACTAAATCGCCGACGTGCAAGAGCTGGACAAAAACACAACAGATGAGATGCGCTCTCATCGTCCTCCCCACAGCTACGACAGATTTGGTTGAAAGGAAGACCTAGTCTTCTAGCATGGTTCCCTAGCTTACAGTGCCCTGTAATCAACCCTACCAGAAGACCAATGTCCTTGCGGGACATCTCAATGAGAGTTTTCGATTTCCTTTTATCGGAAAGTGGCCAGATTGCATACAGATGTCTACATATCGTTGAGTCTTCCCATCTTTTATTAAAAGTATTAGCGCAGAAAGAACTCAATATCAGTTTACATGATGTTAGCGATATGCCCAGATAGTCTAGGTGCTCCGAGTATGGTTCTGAAGCACCCTTTCTGGCTAACTCGTCTGCTTTGCAATTTCCGAAAATATCCCTATGGCCGGGAACCCAGATTAGAGAAATATTGAGCTGCGTCGACATTTCGTTTAGAGATGTGTAGCAGTCAAGAACCGTCCTAGATGTAAATTGGACCGAACTCAAGGACTTTAATGCAGCTTGACTGTCTGATAGTATGTATATATTCCTGCCAAATATATCATCTACATTCAAACAAGCTATAGCTTCCCTGATGGCGACCACTTCCGCCTGAAAGACACTACAATGATCTGGAAGCCTAAAGAAGGAAGATTTGTTCAATTCCTCTGAGAAAACTCCACTACCTACACCACTACTTGTTTTGGATCCGTCAGTGAAGATGGTTACGCCCTCATCTAAGAAGGGGCCACCTGACGTCCATACCTCTCTAGATGGAAACACGACATCAAATTTCCTGTCAAAGTTGAGAGTGGGTGTGATGTAATCAACGTTTTTAGGAGTAAAATTGAAAAGATTTAGAATGGAGGCATGACCATAGTCACTGTCTCTCCATTGTGAAGTAGCTTTCAGTCTTAAAGCAGATGAAGCTGCCATTTGTTTACTAATAATATCCATTGGCAGTAACTGAAGCATCAAATCTAGTGCAATGGATGGTGTGGTGCATAGCGCCCCGCTAATACAGAGTTCAGCTCTACGCTGAATCCTGTTAAGTACTGAGCAGTACGAAGATTTATCAAGAGCTGTCCACCATACCGTAATACCATACATCAATATGGGCCTAATAACAGCTATATATAGCCATTGGGTGATGCGAGGTTGAAGACCCCACTTCTTACCAATAGCTTTCTGACATGGAAGAAGCGCAACATTGGCTTTTCTTGCACGCTCTAGAGTGTTTTCGGGACATAGTAATCGGGACATAGTTAAATAAGAAACAATGTCTAAAAATTGCCAAAAGCCGGTTGTGTATTAACTCCCACGAATTCTGGAGCTCGATTGGATGAATACCATCCGGTCCTGGTGATTTGTAGGGTTTAAAACTAAAAATAGCCCATTTGACGATCTGCAGGTTAACCTTAATAGAGTTAACCGGTGAGAGATTAAGGCACTCTGAGGATGCAGCTACCGAAGTAGAAGATCCCGGAAAGTGAGTATCTAGTAGTAATTGTAAAGATTCGCTACTATTATTGCACCATGTCCCGTCAGATTTTTTGAGTAACTCTGGGACAGATGGATTTTTGGATAAGATTTTACGCAGTCTAGAGGTTTCAGAATTGCTATTTATTTCTTGACAGTACGATTGCCAAGTGTCTCTCTTGGACCTACGTAAATTTTTCTTATATTCTTGCAGAGAGGTTTTGTAATTCAGCCAATCACTCTCATTATTATATAGTTTTGCTCTGTTGAAGAGTCTCCTACACTCCTTTCGTAAAAGACCTAGATGCTTATTCCACCAAGGTGGGTTACATTTCCTACTAGGTTGTGTGAGGGGACAAGCATAACTGAAAGCTTCGTTGAGCACTGAGGTGAGATCTTGGACTTGATTGTCTAGATCAAAAGTGTTCCCAGGGGGATCGGAGGAAGTGGTTAAAAGCAGCTCACTTAGAGCTGCATTATAATTCGTCCAGTTTGTGTTTTTAACATTTCTGAAAGTTTTTTGATTGCAGATGTTCGATTCATCTAAGGTTAAGGTGAATTCTAGAATCATATGGTCTGAGAACGAGTGTTGAGTGGACACTTTCCAGTTCTTGACCGATTCGTGAAGCCTAGCAGTAGCAAGAGTGACATCTAACACTTCCTGCCTGTTTTTAGTAATAAAAGTTGGCATATTGCCATCATTGCAGATGAACAGATTGTTACTAAATACAAAATCAAAAAGTAACTCACCTCTTTCATTAGTATTTGAGCTGCCCCAAACCTCATGACGAGCGTTGGCATCGCAACCTATTAGAAGCTCTACCCCGAGTCTCCTGGCGCTGCTTGTTAGCTGTATCAGGACATTCGATGGTAGTGTGGCATGGTCATGTGCCAGATATGCAGATACTGCCCATATTTGGCCCCAGGAGCCCTCGATACTTACTGCGGTTTGGTCACCATCACTATATTGCGAAAGTAAGAGGGCATTAAATTTTTTATTAACCACTATGCAGGACCTAGGCTTACCCTTATTTACCGCATAAAATAGGTTGTAGTTATTAGCCCTGATTCCGCATACAAGATCCTTATAAATCCATGGTTCTTGTATCAGGACCATATCAGCCTCGTTGTTGCTGAGGCGTTGCAGTAGACTGGCGGATGCAGCCTTGCTATGATGCAGGTTAATTTGCTGTACCCGCATCTTCAGTATGTGTGGATCCATTTTTCTCCACCACAGTGACATCAAAAGCACTATCCTCCTCAGAGTCATTACTCATTAGGAGTTCCTCTTCATCGAAAAGATAGCGCATGCCTACGCTCTCCTCTGATGTAATTGAGTGAGCTGGCGAAGGAGCAGACACTGAAATGTCCATGCACACAGGTGAGTCTTCAGATGGAATAACCGGACTCACTTCGGTCATGGAGGCAGGCTTAATATTGCCCACTTTCGATAAGGGATCAGCAGTGTGTTGAGAAATTGCCGCTGATTCCCGTACATCAGACGAGGATTGCTCCTCATCTTTTTTGTAGACCCTCATAGTTATGGGGAAAAAACCGTAATTTAATACGCCACCAGATCGCGCCAAAATGGACAGAGAGGCTTTGTCGATCACAAAACTGACCGACCTAAACTTTCCTTTGGCTTCTTCCAGCTTAGTGACCTTCCACGTGGACGTATTTAGATCAGGGTTTCCCACCCGAATTAGCTCCAGAATCCGCTGAGGGTCGGATGGTTCGGCTGGAATCCAGGAACGCGCCCTAGGTCGGCCAGGAATTTGTTCCTTGGCAACGACTTTAAGCTTTGCGCCTGGCCAGACCTCACCCATTCTGGAGATGGCAATGCGAAAGAGATCAACAGAACGCTGATCAACGCAGGCGACTAGTTTCACATGGCCCTGAAACCATCCACCGTCGCGACATTTGGGAATTGTACCTGGAAATTTCTTAAGAACTTCGACGAACAAGTCAAGGAGCTTTCGCTCAATTTGATCCCATTTTTCAGGATTAATAGGTGCCATCTGGATCATTTTCATCAATGACCGCCATTATGATGGAGCCCTTCAGCGTGTCGCTAAAGGACTTAGTAGTGGTGGCGTTGCCACGAAATTTTGCCTTTTTGGCATCTGGCATCGAAGCTGACTCATCTAATGAGCGCTGGCGCTTCGGTACAGGTTCCTTTTTGACTTCCTTAGAAGTATCAAGGACCCGTTTGGCCCAGGCTAATCTAGCCTTAAGAGACTCGGACGTAACCGAGACATTGCCATATCTCTCGAGCAGCCTAGTCGCCGCTCGCCGTTCTTTATAGATTCTCCTGGATGGAGAGCCCGACCATGCAGAGGGGCCAGAACGCGTGGAGATTTCTGGTTTGTTAGGAGGTACCCTGTTATTACCGCTAGAAGTTGCGGTAGGTACCTTGGAACTAGTCGTTCCAGAAGAGCTTGGTTTAACCGAGCTTGATTTTTTTAAATTTTTATTATTTTGGTTCATATTTTAAACCCACGAGTTGCGGAGAAAGGAAAGTCGATCTGGGCAGAGATCCGCTATACCCGGACAAGGCTAAGTTACAACCGGAGGGCGCCAGATATCCGGAGGTCTCCGTTTAGAGACACACTAACGTAGTGCCATTCATCTCATCGGCACGGGTCGAATAACACCGGAGATTACGGGTTTTATCGAGTTTTCCTCTCTAGATCCATAGTGTTCTGTTGAGTCAATGAAGTTATCAACTACAAACAGGTTCACCTCGAGAAGGGTGTGATAAAGTACCACGCACCATGGTCTTGGTAAGGCATAGGCTGATGTTTTGCGCATGACCATACCCTGTTCATTGAGAACACGAACCCTAGCACAGTATAAAGGGCGCTAAAATCCTGCTACCTGTTCAAGAAAATATTTCCCTAATCTTTCGGGTTTTTTAATGAATGTTAGATACTCTACCTATGTGAATACATATTTCTGGAGAAGAAAAATATCTATTTGTGGCCCTCCCGTATTATCTTTTTTAAACTGTTGCAAAATTTATTAAACAAATACACCAATACCAATACCTGCTACCTGTTCAAAAAAAATATTTTCCTAACCTTTCGTGTTTTTTAATAAAAGTTAGATACTCTACCTATGTCAATACATATTTTTTTGGAATAAAAAAATCTTCCTAAAATATGTTTTTATTTCTTTTAAACTGGTGCAAAACTTACCAAACAAATACTTTAAGTTCACTTACTAAATTTGCATTTAAAAATGCACAAAAGTTGGGAAGTAATATACAAAAAACTAATATTTTAAGTTAAAATACAAATAAGGTCAAGACAGTTATAATTTTTAGTTCACATTATAAATACTTAACAAAACTAATTATTTTAAGTATTTGTTAATTTATGCAATTTTTAATATAAGTTACAAACCCAACGAACGCAAATATCAATTTTTTCAAAATTTGCAACAAAATAATATTTTCTATTTCAAACAAAATTGTGAAGTTCCTGTAATTTTTTTCCACCCTTGGGTGCAAGCGCAAAATCGCACATTTGTACACGTTTGTGCAATCGCACATTTGTGCACATTTCCACTCGCACAGTGCAGTGTGCGATTTTGTGCACCACATTCCGAACTCTGGTTAATTCCAACATTTAGTTCAATTTAACTCAAACAAAACGAAACAAATAACAAAAACTTATTTAACACTTCTATATTTTGTAAGGATGGAAATTTACACTAAATTTCCACCTACATAAACGTGCACTAAAAACAATAATAACACGAACTAAAACACACCAATACAACACAGTTTTTATAAAAACAACACATTTTATATATTTATATTTAAACTTAGAAAAGTGGACTCACTGGTAATAAATGTTGCAAATATCTGGAATTAAATAGATTAATTAATATTTAAAATATTTAGTCAAAACAATTTACCAAAACTCAAACCGCTTACAATCCTTAATAACACCTCAAACTAAGCTGAAATGATATTGAAATGAAATATAAAAATATAATTAAATAAATGAATAATAAACTCACCTTATTTATTTGTTAATTATATTTCTTATTTTTATGTTGTAAATATTCATCAAAAATTTGCACTTTTAATATTTTATTTTATTGTTACAAACAAAATAAATTGTAGCGTGCATAAGCATACACTATGTGAGTAAATAAGTATGCTGATATTTATTGTAACTTTATTGCATTCTTGCAATATGAGCCCCTACCGTCCGTTTGACGATAGTGTTTGGGCTGGCGTGTGAAGACGCCAATTCAGCAAATTCTCACAGTATGCTAATGCACACTGCTCCTCCAAATATGAACTTTGTAAAAACATATTTTAATTAATAAAGTAAGTCCTAAAAGAGAACACGGTTTTTAAATTACTACATGGCGACCGTGACATGTTTTAATAATAATAAATTATTATTAATAAATTAATAAATTATATTAAATTAATTGTGCACACATGATGACGAAATGTTTTAATAATAATAAATTATTATTAATAAATTAATAAATTATATTAAATTAATTGTGCACACATGATGACGAGTATGTGACTTCTAATCGCTAAAGCTATATAAATAACAATTTTGTTTTGATGGAAAATGGAAAATACGGGAAATATAGTGAAATTTATTTATCGTTAAATGGCTTTGAAGTGATAAAAACAGTGACTGTTGAAGTGAAGAATACTAAGATTATTAGTGAAACTTATTTATCGTTAAATGGGTTTGAAGTGATAAAAACAATGACTGTTGAAGTCAAGAATACTAAGATTATTAGTGAAAATCATGGAAAAATGTGTTATTAATGTGTTATTATTAGTTATAATAATAAAAGAAAATTATTAAAGAAAGGAAAATAATAAACAAAAATTTAATATGGCATTGCATACAAATTTATTCATAATTACTAAGTGAAAAAAAAATATGTAAAAATGTTTTCTTTATATGGAGTAAAACACCACTGCTGATACTGACGATACTGCCGTCGCTGTTTCAACGTCGCTGCGACCTACCTCAATCACTGCTGGCACAGTCATCAACTACAGCAAGACAACAGCTGCTGCGTATTTAATCTCAAATATAAGTGGATGCAAGCAAGTAGATTAAAAATTTAAAAATTAACAATTAAAAAAAAATTTTTATAGAAATGAAAAATTTTATTAGTTTTAAATAACCTGTAAAATGAATAATATTTTGGAAATTACTTTAAGAAAAACAAAAATCATAATAAATACAAATTTATAAAATACGAATACCAAATTAAATTAAATCATGATAGAATTGTTTAAAAATTAATAAAATTGAATAACTCTTATATTTAATTCAAAAAAAAATTTATTAAAAATTAATTTGTTATAATAAATACAACTATATACATAAGTGATTTTTTTTTAAATATAATTGAATGTATTAATTTTATTTTAATGTTAACGAAAAGTTTACTTTTTCAATAAAATCAACTGTATTTAACAAACAGTTGTTTATTAATTATATTTCATTTATATGTTTATATTTGTATTCTATATATATATGTTTTTTTTATACATCTATTTTATTTTTATATTCATTCATTCATTAATATTATTTGGAAATGTGCGGCCCAAAAGCCAATTTCGATAGGCCTCAGGCCAATGTAATTAATGAAGTGGAAGTACAAACAGATTTAAGTGATTTAAAAACCACAAATTTCCTTTTACTTATTCTTGTTGTTATAGTGATAGGGAAAATTGTTCTCAAATTAATAGGAAAGTACAGAGCTTCCGTTAAAAGGAAGTATATTAATCGTGCAGTTTCAACAGATAACATTTAAAATGCTTAATTTTTTTTTAGGTAATTTTTTCTTTGCTGCATTTGGTTACAAATTTATTACTGGATTAGTATGTAAAACATGTAGAATATTTTTACTATAATTATGAGTTCTCAATCGTCGTTTAAGAAAATTTAATATTAAATTTTATATAATACGTGAATTTTATCTTAAGGCTATGTTATAGATTTATTTGTACAATTTAAAGAGTTTACTATAACTTACGCAATTAAAGTGTTAAGATTTTCGTAAATTTAATTTACAATTTTAAAAACAAAATATTGTTTGATGGAATGGCAAACAATATTGAATAAAATACGCTTCCTAAAAGAAACGTTTAACAAGTCATATAAATGTATTGCAATAGATAGACCTATTAGTGCTACAACACTACACAAACACTGTACGTTATTAATACAGAGTTTAGAAAGTATTCGAGTACTTTTAAACGTACACTTTGATAGGTTCACAACCGCACACAAAGCGGAAGCGAGGAAAATCTTTGGAGACCTCCGTGAAAAAGCCATCAAAGTTACCCTAAAGAAAGGCATTAATGTTGAAATACCCACAACATTAAATGAAAAAATATCTATTAATATAGAATTAAATATAGACACAGACTCTGAAAATACAACGGAACACAAAAATATAGAAATGGCGCAAGCACAAGTAGAGCTCGACAGAGCATACATAAAGGAAACCGCCATAGCAGTTCCAGAATTTGACGGGAAAAAACAACACTTGGAAAGATTCCTTAG